GTCTGCGGCGGCGGCCCGCGCCTTGCCTGCCTTGTCTCGCTTGCGCTTCTTCTTGGCGGCGGCACCTGCCTCCTGTGTGTGGGAAGCCACCACGGGGCCCACGCTCAGCAAATCAATAAGCAGCAAGGTGTGCAGGCCAGCGCGAATGCTGCGTCCTGACCTGCACCCAGCCCCGTCTGTTGTGTGCACTGTAAAGATCCCTGTGATGCACGCTGCTGTGCAGTACGGTGTAGAAACAAAGGGTGTGGCCCCGGCGAGAGCTGCAGCACCACAGCGAGCAGCAAAGCGGCAGAATGCAGCAGCAGCAGCAGTGGCGGCGCGCCCCACCTCCTCGCCGCCCTGCCGCTGGTGACGCCGCGCGAGGTCCTGCATGGCCTTACGCCGGTCCTCAGCAGCGTTAGAGGCCCCATGTACGGGCGAGGGGGGCTGCAGAGGCCCGTCGTCGCGCTGGGGCTGGGCCTGCTCGGGCTGTTCTTCGTCGCCGAAGAGGCTTTCGAACGTGGGCTCATCGAGCCGCGGCTCCTCGGGCAGCCCGCCCGCCAGCCCCTGTGTGGGTGCAGCAGCGCGAGGGCATGCTCGCTCAGCTTGCCCCACGGTATCGCCCGTGTGGCCCAGCTCGAGGCGCTGCGGCCCTCACGTCTTGGGGACCCCATTCCTCGTAGTCCTCCATCCCGTTCCCGGAGAAGGGGCCCCGCTAAGAGCGGGCCTACGACAGAACTGGGAAGGCGAGCACGGGTATCTACTGTTAGGATGACACAGATGGTCGATTACTGTTGTAGTTCTATGTGCTGAGCCCACAGAGCATAGATGCAAGAGAACACTCAGATCACCGGGCCTTGGTAGCTGATCGGCAGCTACCTTACTGCAGAGAGACCTTCACATACTCGTACGCTGCCATGTGACGCACAACACATTGGACGGACACGCTTCACGGCGAACAGCACCACAGGTTCAGGACGAGCTGAGGTGTCACCCAAGGCCTTCGCAGCGGACAACAGGCGGGCCCACGCGGCCAGCCCCCGACCACCACCGGGCGGCCACCACCAACACAGTGCACACGCGCAGCCAGCCCACAGGTGTTGCCCAACCCCCACCCCCGCGCGCAGCATCGCCATCGCCGATGGCCGGGCCAAGCGCCCCCGCCGAGGCTGCCAGCGCGCGCGTCGCCGGCGCGCGCGCCGCGCCGTCACTTGCACGGCAGCAGGCGGCCGTGCTGGCACAGGTATCATTAGCCCTCCCCCTCTGCACCGCCTTCTTCCGCTGGGCCCCCGCCCGCCTCGCCGCCGCCAGCCCGGCGCTCGCCGAGTGCGCGCCGCAAGCGCTGCCCGCGCTGCTGCCGCGCCTGCTCGCGGCGTCGGCGCTGCCGCTGCTCGCAGGCGTTGTTTTGGTCGGCAACGCGCGCTTCCTTGGGCCTGGCATCGACCCGCTCACACACCCAACGGGCGGCAACGCCCGCTTCGCCGTCTACACTAGATACCTCAGCAACACGCTCGAGCAATACGTCCTTCACGCCGCCGCGACCGCCGGCCTCGCCGCGTGGGGCCTGTGCCCCCACGCCGCCGCCGCGGCCGCCTGGTTCGTCGCCGCGCGCATGGCGTTTCTGGTCGGGTACCTCGCGCACCCCGTGCTGCGCGGCGCCGGGTTTGCGGCGACTGTGTACCCGACGGCTGCCTCGCTGGCGTACTGCGCGTGGCGCCTCGCGAATGACGGCCCGATGGCGGGCGCCGCCTGACTGGCGGCGGCAGCCGCACACCCGTGACGGCGCGGCGGAGGCCCGCGCGCCCGGTGAATCGCGCCGCGCTGCGTGGCGGCCTGGGCGCGGGGCCGGGGCTGCTGCCGGCTGCAGCCATCTCGTGGCTCGTTTTTTGCCAGGGGCCAGTTGCGGTCTTGCATATTATGACGGATGACAAGCACCCCGTTTCTCAGTGTAGAGTCGAGACAAGACATCCCCCCGCAACTGTCGGGAGCCACGCAAGCGCCTGGCCTGCGCCGTGGCGTCCCGCACCCGGAGCCGCTCGGCGGCTTGTTCCCCGGCTCCTCGCTGTTCGCCTCTGCTGCACACTTTCGGCAGTGGATGGGGCGGGCCGCTAAGGTACACCTTACATCAATTTGATACTCGTACAAGACACCCACAGCTTGATAGCCTGCAGGTTTTGGCGTTCTGGCAAGTGCAGGCGCTGGCCTTAACGACTGGCGGGGTTTAGGGTGTAGAGCAGCGCACCTCAAACACTTGTCCCTGCCACGTGTACCGCTGTAACAGAGCATGCAGCCGTGCCATGTCTTGGACGAGGCTGCCACAAGGGGTGGACCGTAGGATCTGAACAGCAATCGAACAAAGCGGGCTCCAGCCGCACGGCGTGCCGCGCGCACGCCTACCGCGCCAGCGCCGCCGCCTCCCTGGCCGCCAGCAGCCGCGCCTCCACCCCGCTCAGCAGCGGCACCAGCGCCCGCCCCAGCGCCGCCCGCGCGGCGTGCGCGCGCAGCACCTCGGCTGCGAGCGCGCGCGAGCGCAGGTCGAGCGCCGCGGCGCGCGCCTGGCCGGACACGACCTCCCCCTGCAGACGTGCCGCCCGCGCCTCGGCCGACTCGTCTGCTTGTGGTGGACCACCGCCCTCCTCTGCCGTTGTGCCGCCCTCGCCGCCCCAGGCGGCGCCGTCTTCGAGGCAGTCTTTGAGGCGCGATATCGTTGAGAGCCCGTCCTGCGCCTGCGCCTCCCAGCGCGCTGCCTGGTCGCGCGCCTCGGCCAGCTGCTCCCCTAAAAGCTACGAATCGTGGGTGTGAGTGTCGGGTGTGAGTGTGAGTGGATGATTTCGTGTGTGCATGTGTGAGGGAGAGAGTGAGTCTTCGTGTGTGTCCCGGGGTGTGTGTGTGTGGGGGGGGGGGTTGTGTGAATGGGATGGAGGGAGAGGAGGGAGAGAAAGAGAGGGAAAGAGGGAGAGAGGGAGAGAGAAAGAGAGGGAAAGAGGGAGAGAGAAAGAGAGGGAAAGAGGGAGAGAGGGAGAGAGGGAGAGAGAGAGCCACACAGAGAGAAAGTGTGTGTGTGTGTGTGTATGTGTGTGTTTGTGCGCGTGCGTGTGTGTGCGTGTGTGTACGTATGTGTGTGTGTGAAGGTGCGTGTGTACATGTGAGCATGCCCTGCCCCGTCAACTCTCAATACTCCCCATTCTCAAACCCTGCCAAACCTTCCACCCTGAGACTGTCATTTTCAATTTGCTCCAACCACGCGTGCACATATACACACATGCACCCTCACAAACACACACACACACACACACACACACACACACCACAAACAAACAAACAAACACGTACACTCACACACGTACACACACACACTCACACGCAAAACACACACCTTGACCTCAAGCGCCGCCTGCTCTCCCTCGGCGCTCTGCCGGTCGAGCTGGGCCAGCAACCTGTCCCTGCTCTTCTTCAGAGCCACCACCTTGCCCATCACGAGCTCAACCTGGTCCTGCAGCAACACAACCTCCTCGCTCAACTCCGCCACGCGCTGCCGCAGCGCCGCCTCGCCGCCGCCGCCGCTGCCCCCTGGCGCGCCGCCGCCGGACCCGTCCTCCTCCTCGTCGCCGCCGCTGCCGCTCTCGTCGGGCGGCGGCGCGGACGCGCCCCGCCGCAAGGGCGGCCGCCGCCGCTCGCCCTCCTCCTGTGACTGCTGCGCCTCGCGGCGCGCGCGCTGCAGGGCCGCCTGCAAGTCCGCCACCTGCGCCTCATAGTTTGCGGCGGCCGCCTTGGCCGCGCCCAGCTCTGACTGCAGCCGCTGACGCTCCCCTGCATCAGCTCCTGCGTCCCGCTGCCGCTGCTGCTGCTGCTGCTGCTGCTGCTGCTCGGCCGCCGCCGCCGCGTCCAGCAGCCGCTGCTCCAGCTCCGCTG